TGGTCATTGGCCTCCGGCCTCATCTCATACATATCAAATACATTGAAAGGAGTGTACTTAAGTACACATTACATAAATGGAATCAAATATACATATTTTTACATATAAGTCTACAAAATGACATTTCATGCTAACATTCGCATGAAATGGAAACTTAAAAGCTACACGACATCCAAGGAATGCTAGGTGTCACAAACCAAGTCTTCGTACCTGAAATATGGCCCAGTATCGTAGGGGTGAGTAACATAAAGCTACTCGTAGGAGATGAGCATGCATCGATCTAGCATTTTACAAATTTATCACCTTAAGGTGAAACATGTTAAAGGGGTTCATGCCACCTAACGTCTATATCGAAATGAGACTCAGAGAGCATCCTAAGCTACCTTAGAGTGTTTCTAGCATAAATCACATCATCTATGCCATTTAAACAATATGGAATCACGTTATACAAAGTAACAAGATATAGATTCTTAAAGGTATTAACTTGCAATCTCGAATACAGAAACAACTAAAGTGATCATGTCACCTAACGTCTATGTTCTAAATAAGTCTAAGGAATCATCCTAGGCCATGCTGAACAATCAAAACGCAAATTACAACTTCAATGCAGTCTAACTACATAAAAGCATATTATACAAGGCAACAAAATACAATTTCTTAAGACTATCAGCTTGTAATCTAAAGCACGAAAACAACAGAAGTGGGTCATGCCACCTAACGTCTATGTTATAAATGAAGCAATAGGATCAATCCTAAGCTTTATTAGAACGTCAAAACACGATTTTTAATATCGATGCAGTTTAACCAACATTGGAACTTCCAATACAACGTATAAAGTACAATTTCGCAAAGTTAACATCCTGTAACTTAAAATGGAACGACAAATAAGAAACAAGAAGTTACAACATCATCTAGTTATCAACTTGAAAATGAAATGCGAAATCAAACAAAGTGGATATTTGGACGTCACGCCAAATCAAACCGACAACATAGTTACTTTAGGGTTACTAGCCCATGGGTAACCTCCCTATGTGTGCACTAGACTATATAGAGGGACTATCCCCCATACTAGAACCACGTCCTAGCCATAGCAAAACAACGACATCCCCAAGTTTCCAAAATCAACAAGTTGTACAACAACGCATATATCAACAGGAATATGCAAGATAATCAACTATCTACCAAGCACAACCAAATTTGGAAACCTATACAATACATGCTCTAAATTCACAACTAATATGATATGATGAATGTCGAATCTTCAGTGTGCGATTCGTTACACGCTATGCATGAATAATGTTAAATACGAAATGTGCAAATCATTACATAAGGCAACAATATATTCAATAAGGAAAACATATTCTCATGCGCACAAACATAACAACTATGTTATCCAATATTCAAAGCATAACCAAATATACAACAAGTCTAAGTCCATGATTTGAATATAGAAACCACTTCTAAAACACAACTAGATCATGGAGCAAATTGATAGAATTTAAATAGATAAACACAATTAAATTCTATAGATTCCGATTGAATTCCAATTAACCTCAATTTAACACATGTTAAAGGACATGGCATGGTCATCACCTATATCCATTCTAAAACTCAATTAGGTTGTTAAAACAACAAGGTAGAACTTTAATTAAATCATGCTGATTTTAATCCCAAGGTTCTAAAACAACTTCAAATAGTCCCAAATTAATATATGATAGTAAACAAGTCATGGCCAATACAAATATCAAGTTAAAACCTTAATTAAGCTAATGGGACCACAAAATAGATTTTAATTAATTCTTTTAATTAAAATCTTTTGATTTTCAAACTTAACCAAATACTCTCAAATTAACCTATGTTGGAAAACATGCCAAGAACTAATGTAATATCACATTACAAGTTTATTTCATTCAATTTAAGACCATGTGAATTAAACTTTCACTAAAGTTAAATATAAATTAAAAGTTACAATTCTCATGCAATTAATCCCAATTTAATATATGTGAATAACTATACCTAAGCTTAATTTTCTAGCATGCCACAATACAATTCCAAGTTGTATATCACCATGAGGATTAAATCTTAAACATGGAATTTAATTAAATAAAAGGTTTCAAAACCTAACCGAATATTCTAAATCAAATATATGTGAAGCTATATGGCATGTAAATCAAGAATATCAAGTCGGAATTCAAATTGAGTGAATAGTTCACTCAGGGTAAATTAATTAATCAAATTAATTAATAATTACTAATTTTCAAAACATCTCCAATTACTTTCAAATTCAACTATGTTGAAGAGTATGCTAAGGCCTAATATAATATGCTAACACATATTAATTTCAAACTAGTTAAGGCCATGTGAATTAATCTTTCACCTAAGATAAATATTAAATAAAATCTTTAATACTTATTCGAATGTTCCAATTTTAATACACGTCAATGAGCATATCAAGGGGCATTATAAAATCATGCTACATGTTCAAACCAAGTCATGAGTAACCGGGAAAATCAGATCCTGTAACAGAAAAATAAATAATAAAATCTTTAGGTTTTATATTTAATCATGCCAACAAGTTGTATAAGCATCACAAGCATGCTATATAACAAGAATTTAAACCTAAAACATCCCCTACCTTAATTTGAGATGAAATCTCAAAGGGCCACCAAAATAAAAGTGCTCCGAATTTGACGATACCGAGAGGTTTTGTCGAGGACAACATCGTGAACAAGAATCCGCAAGAAGCCCCATGAAAATATCAACTTGACTCCAAACCCAAACTCAAAAAATCGTTGGAAATGGAATCTAATAAGGGCAAAAGGTAGAGCACGTCGGGGGAAGCAATAAATGCTAAGGCCGAAGGATTTCTACCAAGGAAAAGTGGACCGAAGGAGGAGAGAGAAAGTGGCAGCCATGGCTGCTAGGAGATCCGGCCAAGAGAGGTGGGGAAGATGATCAAAATTTGATTTTAAGGATTAGGGCAACCTATTTATAGAAATCTCAAAAAGTGTCCTGAAAGAGCCCCGCCGGGTCCGGAAATGTGGAATTTGAGCAAACGCGCTCAAACATCAAAACTCCGTGAGTGAAAAAGATTCAAAATGAGAAAATATGAACAACGGAAGAAACGACGTCAAAAACCGAATCCCGACTAGAAAGTTATGCCCCGAATAAGTTCGGCGTCCATAAACTCTGAAACTGGAGAAAAACGACCAGAACGGAATTCTATGAATTTACAAGTCAACAAAAAGTGAAAATGAATCCAGTACGAGAATCCAGGCTCCAGACGAGACATTTTTGCAATAACTTTCGTTAATTGCACAATGGCCCCTACGGAAAGGGTTAACTGCGAAATTACCCCAGAATGAAAATATATTCCAAAAGATATTTTCTTAGATGCCCCTGAAATAAAATATCTTCAAAAGATATTTACGAAAAACACCCCAAGAAATGAAAAAGATTCTGAAGAATTGTGTATCTATGCCCCTGTGGACATCGGTAGCAACCAGAGTACTTTATTGCAAAAGTAAAGATACGTATTTCGAAAAAACCACTCAAGATGAAGGCACGTGAAGTCAAAAACCAACTCCGAGCATGAGAAGTGCGGTTGTGCCAAAAACTGACAAACGAACATAAGATGAAATAGGGAAAATGACAGAATAGGGAAAAGACGAAATAGCGCATAGTGTCTGAAAAACGAAAAATGCGAAAATGACTCGGTCCTCAAAGGAAGTTATCAATTCACATGAAAGAGTCTCAGAAACCAATTCTGAGCACTCGAGATGACACTAAGCGACACGAAATAGAGCTCAGAAAAGAAAATTAAACGAAAAAAATTCATTCGTAAAATTTCAGGAAAAAGGAAAGGAAGACAAATGACCGGGTCGTTACATTCTTTCTTTTCATTCATTAATCAACTAAATGGGATACGGGGTTAAAATTATCCTTCCCTTCCCTTTCATCCTTTCTTTTCTTCTCTTTCTTACCGTACCAAACATAGCCTTATTCTTTCTTTGGTGGTCAGTTGTGATAATTGACACTTATATTTGGGGGAGTCCCATCAAAACTCGCCCCGTTGTCATTTAGGGTCAGTTTGGTGCAATGGAAAAAGGGAGGAAAGGAAAGGAAAGTGGATGGAGGGTGATTAAAAATTTATGTTTGGCATAAATGGTTGGAAGGAAAGGGAAGGTTTTGGAGAGTTAACACAAGGCTTAAACATTAAATTTCTTAACCTCCCAAAAATGGGAGGAAATATAAGGAAAGGGAAAGAGAGGCTTGGTGTGTGATTTCTAATGCAAAATTTGCCCTTGATTACGCATGAATTTAGTTTGCAAAAAAGAATTACAGACCTTGATTAGTTGATTTAGAAAAAATAAAAATAAAACAAAACCCATACGTATAAGTTAGCAGTTTCAGAGAGAGAGGCGGGTAAGCTTGAGAGTTGAGAGAAAAAGGGCCAGCGGTTGAAGTTTGCGAATGGCGGACCCGAATTGGAACAGCGGGCGGAAACTGAAAGATCGATATGGGTTTTGATTTTTTGAACAATCTGAAATGATGCTGATATGGGTTTTGAACTTTTGATTCTTGCCGACAAATATATAAACTAAAATATATGGGTTTTAAACTTTTGATTCTTGTAGTAGTTTGCACTTGGAGAGAGAGAGAGAGGCAAGTTCAAAGTTGAGAACGAGAACAGAGATGGAGGCTAAAATGATTTGTCCTAAAATATTTTTTCCTTTTTTGGTTGCTGATCCAAGAGTCTTTATACAGGAGAAAAAAAAAAAATACATATATATATATATTTATATTTTTAAAAAAATAATAATAATAATAGTAAATTTATTAAAATAATTATCTTTCATTATTTTTTTCTTTATTTTTTGAGACATAATTATTTTTTTCTTGTTTTTTTTTTATTTATTAATCAACGATAGGAGATTAACATTCCTTTCATTTGCTTTCTTTTTCCTAGTAAAAGTGTGGATTTTTTTTTTTAAGCATCGGTGATCAGTCTTTTCCCTCTCATTCATTAAAGTTATTAAATTGGGGAAACTAATTCAACTGTTTCCAATAAAAACCCTTCCTGCGGGGATTTCTTTTCTTGGGTGATAGAAAACCGAAACGGCCAAACCCTCAAAAACCATCATCATCCAACCCACCAGTTTCGTCAATCAATATGTAGATCCCTTTTGTTTTGAGTTGAATATCCATCACAAATCGAGTACTCATGGATCCAATTTCAAAACGCCAGAAGCCTTTGGAAGAATCGAAGAAGATGGAGGAAAGTGAAGAAGAAGAAGACAGGTTAAGCAGGTTACCAAGCAGTATTATTGGCCATATCCTTTCCTTCCTTCCAACAAAACAAGCAATGGCAACTAGCGTCTTATCTACCAAATGGAAGCATCTCTGGAAATCAATCTCTAATCTTGACTTCGACGATTGGTTTGTAACAAAACATCCTCATAATATTAGCACCACACGAAGTGTTAGGTCATTTGAAAAAAAGCTTTTCATTGATTTTGTGTATCAAGTTCTGCTTCTGCGAAATGTATGGGATATGAATAAATTCCGTCTTAAATACATTAATAAATCTTCAGCATCACATATTAATGCTTGGGTTGCTACTGCACTCTCCCGTAAAGTTAGAGAACTAGATCTGTTCATTAATAATGCGGATGGCAACATTCTGCGCCTACCTGGTGACCTTTTCATATCTACTACTTTGGTACTACTATCCCTCAGACTGACTACTAGGGTTTCTCTCAATGTCCCTAATTTGGTCAGCCTCAACAGCCTTAAAATCTTGCATCTTCACTCAGTTGGATTTTCGGATGAGGACACTCTTCACAGGCTCATTTCAAGCTGCCATGTGCTCGACGATTTGTCTATTCAAGACTGCCTGTGGAGAAATACGGGTGTTGTTAACATTTCTTCTTCATCTCTCAAGAGTTTGATTATGAAAACCATGTTTATTGATGACAAGTGCAAGATTGTGCTTAATACACCAAATCTTCAACACCTTGTATACCATAATTTGCTGAAAGGAGGCTATTTATGGGATAATCTGAATTCTCTTGTCAAGGCAAGCATCCGTTTGACTTTATATAGCACAGCAAAAGCACGCGACAGAGTTGTGAAACTTGCTGTGTCACAACTTGTTGAAGGAGTATCTGGAGTTCAGAGGCTTTATTTAAATGGTGATTCTATGGAGGTTCGCTTGCTTAGCTGCTGACTTATATCTGCCTATTTTGCTGCTTTGATATATCATATATCTATATCTTGTTACATCTTTATATTTCAATTCACCATTTTTTTTTCTTTGCATGAAGGCTGTTCAATTGTGGTGTTGTTCACTGCCCGAGTTCCATAATTTGACTTATTTGGAGCTCGGTCACATTAAAGGTGTCTCATGGAAATTGCTTCCAGATTTACTTGGAACCTCCCGGCAACTTCAAACTCTTGTTTTTGAGGTAAAGTACTAAACAACTTGATTAAACTGTGTTGATTTAATATAATTGAAAGTTAATTTTGTGCAATTAAACAATAGTTCGGACCTTCTTTTTTTTTCATTAGGATCTTTCCACTGTTGGTGACGAAAACCACCAACTCCATTGGTATCCTCCTGAGAAAGTGCCTTCTTGTTTATTGCTTCACCTCAAGGTCATTGAAATTAGGAAATTTAGAGGGGAAAGAGATGAGCTGAAATTGGCAAAGTATTTTTTGAAGAATGCAAATGTTCTGAAGAAATTGATCATCCATCCTACAGTTAGCAAGGAATCAGAGGTTTGCAAGGAATTACTGATGTTACCCAGGGGTTCCAAGACCTGTCAAGTTGACTTTATCTGATTTAGCTTCTTTTACATAATTGTCTAGCTAATATATGAAATCATCTGGTCACTTTGCTTGTGAGCATCTTTTTGCTGCTGCAGTGCGGTTGGTGGTAGTTTCCTGCATGTTTTTTTTTTTTTGGTTAACATTCCTGCTGTTTTTTTTTTGCCAACAAATTCTCTCTCTCTCTCTCTTTCTTTTCCCTTCTTCTTTGAAGGCTGTCTTAAATTAATTGCTGCTGTTTAATTTTTTAATTTTTTCTTTTTTCTTTGTAATGCTGTTTGCTGAATTTTGCTGAATGTATTTTGTTGGATTATTTGAAATTGTAATGCAATGCTGTTTGCTGAATTAACTTAGTCCGCTGATTCCATTCTATTTTCCATTGATTCTATAACTTAGTAATTGTGTTCTGTTTCAATGTTTATTGTTTTAATTTGTTCTGTTTGTTGTTTTTTTCTTACTCAAGGTTTATTGTTTTATTTATTCTGCTTGTTGTTTCTTCTTGCTGGAGCCTGGAGGTTTATTGTTCGAACTTTTCAGTTGTGCGCCTCACTTCACTCAGGTGCGCACCTCGCGCTTAGGCTCCAAGGGAACTGTAGAGCCTCAGTGTGCCTTTAATAACACTGGTTCAATCAAATCTGAATCAGTTGGCCTAGGCAATTTTGCAATCCTAAATTTAAAAGAATGATGATAGGATAGATTTTGAAGGAATGAAACTGCCCAAGTATGAGGTAAAATTATACCGGTAAGAAATCATAATTAAATAAATAATAAAATGATTGAAGATTTAAGTATCATTCATGGATTGATGCAAGACTCATTTGTATAGCCCTAGGGTGAAAATGTTTGAATTCGTATCAGATGGAGTAAGCTTATTAACCAAATGACAAGTTACACATCTTTGATAATGATAATAATTTTTCTTATGGAGGGTCAATTTTGAGGATGATCCAGGATTACCCATCGTGCTAGGGTTCTCGGTGTGGGAAAAATAGATTTTTCATGGTTTACCCTCCTCCCCTCAGCCTGTTGGGGGCTTCTTTGACCCATGATGCCTTGCTGCAACAACAACAATGGAGTAACTTATTTAAGGAATCCACTATTTCGATCTTTTCATTGTTGAAGAATGTAAGAATGATTATCTGATAATGATGTGGAAGAAGATGTGGATTATTGGAAGAGCTCTATAGTAGGGTATGTGATGGGAAAGCATCCCTATTTTCCTTTTTGAAAATGATAAAAGTATTGATCAGTTTTTAAAACCGACTAAGGTGCCATACATTGTCCGAGACACTATTAGAGGATAGAGTCTATCTTATTGATTATTGTGTAAGAGTCCTTGTTCTACATTGCCCGTTGGAGTCACCAAAAAACCGATTCGGACATCATACCATTACTCTTCCTTTTCTCAAGAACTTTCTGCAGTGAGTGATCTAAATCTAATTTTCATAGGCTTATAACTAACTCTAAGTCAGATCCTCATAAGCAGTTCATTTTTGCTTTAGCATGATAGAAATTATGGCTTCAACTTCAAAGTGGCAAAAACTTTTTGATTAAGTGAAAATCAAGGAAAGTTAAATTGAAGACAGGATTAGCAATTTGCCAATATGGTCATATTCTCTTTTTTTCCAACGAAATATGCAGTGGCTACTGGTATTTTATTGACCAAATAGAGGAAACGTTGGATATCAATCACCAATATAGACTTTTGTGATGTTGTGGTCCGAATTTGGTTTCGGTCACGTTGCGACCAACGACCCGTTTATTGACCTGTTTTGCTTGCGGGTCGTGTACCCTAAGTAGTACTCTCTCAGTCTCTTGTAGCCTGATATATAAGGACGTTTAGGGTTTGGATTGGGACATGGTTGAGATACACTGAAAATCACGTAAAAGAGAGAGAGAGCGAGAGCTAGGGTTTGGGACTGAAACTTGTAATCTCTTGATTTTCTCATAATGAAAAATTTCATCAGATTTTCACCGTGGACGGCTTTGCCGAACCAAGCTAAATCTTTTTGTTCTTTGTTTGTGCTTATTTTTCTGTTGTGTTTCTTGATTTCGCTGCCTATGTCGTAACAACTTTGATGGTTGGTCTGTACGTCTCAATTTACACACTCAAAAGGAGTAATGGTCTTCCGTGAGTCAAAATTGGTTTCATAAATTTTGTTTTTCTTGTGCTGCTACTACGTAACAAATCTGATATGCAGAAATTCTGTCTACGATAATGGTCAAAGTTTTGATTTTTCTCATGTACATGCTTGGGTTTCCACTGCTCTAGTGCATAATTTAAAAGAACTTGATATCTTAATCCCTATGGAAAGGGAAAGTGAGCTGCCTATGCTGACTAGTGACCTTTTTACTTGTGGAACCTGGTAGTAGCAAAATTGGGTAGTTTGGTTTGTTCTCAAATGTTCCTACTCTGGTTTCTCTATAGAGCCTTAAAATTTCCGTCTTAATAATATTGAAATTTTGGATGATAATTCAACTAATAGTCTCTTTTCCAGCTGTCCTGTGCTAGAAGGTCTGGCTATATTTGGATGCAAATTGAAAAATATTAGTGTGTTTTTAACATTTCTACTCCTACCCTCAACCGATTAACTGTACAAATTGGAGCAGTTAGCAGTTTGTGTTCAATACGCCAAATCTTCTACGCTCCAGTTACACTGGTTTTGTAGCAGCAAGGTTATTGAATGAGGATCCAGATCCCCTCTTGTTGGAGGGTGATCTTGTTGTATGTCCTGTGCCTCAAAACGTGCTACCACGTTTTGAGGCACAGCAAATAATGTTTAAAAACCTTATTAGATATGTTTGTTTTCCCATACAAGAGATTTCTGTTCTCAATGAATCTGTAGCCAATCTTGGTGATGGAATATCTAGTGTTCAGTTTCTCCATTTACCTGGTTGTTCCATTAGAGGTATGCTTTCTCAACTCAAATCTGTCAAGTGGTGATGCCTTATACATAGTCCAAATGAGCTTTTGAGTTCTCAAATCTGTTTAATGATTTATCCCTTATGTTGGGATTGTTTGATCACAAAGACCTTGCATAATAGAGATTTATTTCTTTAGTAACTCTCATCAAGATGGTTCGTTTGAATAACTTATGATCGAGCCATTCAAATTCTCTTTTTGTCATCTTTATATCGTGTAATGATATGTACCCTTGTAGAATCGGCCAACAACTATGCCCATGATTATGAACAGTTTTAGTGCGTCTTCGGAAAACACTTCAATTCATGTCTAATGTGAATAGTATCATTTTTTTGTGACTATTGCTAATCCAGAACATGAAGGACTTAGTTGATTTGAATTCTAGGTCAGTGCCTATGGAGCTCTGTTCTCAATGAATCTGTAGTAGAACACTCGCTGATGGAATATCTAAGGTTCAGTCTCTCCATTTACCTGGTTGTTCCATAGAGGTAAGCTTGCTTACCTCAATCTGTTTAGTGGTGATGCCTTATAATTGTCCAAATGAGCTCCCTTCATTGAATGGAACTGGATCCTCTCATGCTGGAGGGTACGTATCCTGTTGTATGTCATGTATCCTGTTGTATGTCATGTGCCTCAAAACGACAACTTTTTAGGCAGAGCAAATAAGGTTTAAAAGCTATGGGCTAATTTTGTAGTGAGAGAGTAATATAGGAAAGGCGTATTTGTTGTGCTTCAAAACGTGTGTTTTTTTATTTTTTTTGTGCACGGCAAGTATGTACGGTGGCTCATTTCCTGTGTGCCATTTAAAACCAAACTGATGCTCACCTTGAAATGAGCCTGTGATAAGAGTCCTCATCTAAAGATGCAACTAAAGCCAATATGTAAGTTTTTAAGTCTCTTGAGACAAACCAAATTTGGGACATTGAGAGGAATCATAGCACTATGTTTTAGTACTACCAAAGTAGTAGAGATGAAAAATTCACTCAGTAGCCGAAGAATGGTAACCTAATCCACCTACTTTATCAATAAACATATCAAGTTCTCAAACGTTATGGGATAATGCAGTAGAAACCTAAGCATTGATTGACGAAGCTGGTGGGTTTGCTGGTTGATTTTGGAAATTAAACTGATGCTGGAGTCGCGCACTCGTTATTGGTCAAATAGAATAGAATATATAAAAGCGGGCACACAAGCAAAACGAGATTAAAATGCGAAATCAGACTTGCTCAAAATGTCACAGCAGACCTCCATAACTTAAAAAAACGAGAGATTAAATAAACTCTTCAGAGTAGGAGCAGAAATGTTAAAAGAACTCTTATTTTTATCCTCCACATGCATCCTATTACAGCCAATTAACGGAGTCATCATCATCCAAAAATTCAATTGCATTAAGATGGAGTATTTTAAGACCTGTGTAGGAAAACCAAAGAAGGAACATTGAGAACAAATCTAGAACCCAGTTTTAGTACTACCAGAGTCACAAGGCAGCCCGGTAAACCCTTCCGTCAAGACGAGAAATTCAAGTTCTGGAATATTGGGTGATAGTGCAGTAGAAACCCATGCATTAAGATGTGAGACCTCATAACTTTGACTACAATCCGTAGGGCAAAATTTATCTCTGAATTCTAACTTACAAATAGGTGAGAAATGACTGATACTGGTTTCAGCAGATTGTTTATGTACTAACTTATCTCTGAATTCTAATCGCTTTATGTTCTTTTAAGTTTTAACTCTGGTCTCCACCAAAATTACCGAGGCAAATTTGTGAAAACATTTACACGCGGATGCAGAAGCTTTTAGTTGATTTTAAATTGTGATTAACTCCTTTAATGACCTAGATGAGATTAATAGGTCAACTTGCCTAAATTGTGATTGATTAAATTATCTAAACAATACAATCAATTTAAACACAGATAAATATTGTAAAGTAAAATAAGTAAGGTTAGAGAGATTGTACCAGGATTTTTTGTGAGGAAACCCAGTTGATAAAATAGAGCAACTGTTTGCATGGGAAAAACCTCCTGTACTATGCAGTCCAAAATAAACTGAAACTTTGACTCAGGCTCACACCCTATTGTTCTACCAAACACCACTAGCTGACAATCTTCTGACTTTGTGACGTCTCGTCCAATGGCACTTGACCTCGGGTTTATTTATGCTGAACCAATTTGTTAACATCAAGCTTACCACTTCGCAGAAAACGTTTAAACAACTTTTCTATTGCATTTCTACAACTCAAAGAAGGAGTACAAATGCATTTCTACAACTCAAAGAAGGAGTACAAAACAGATCTCAGCAGTTCAATCCTGTCAGCCGTAGAGAGATTAAGAGTATTCCAATGATCCTCTTTCTGCGTGATCCTCTTCTGCGTCCAACTGATTTAGAAGAAAATTACAGAGCTCTTATCCTTATTAATTTGGAG